TGAGTTCGTTTATGAGTTCATTTATCAACTCGTTCATTTATGTTAATGAACAAACTTGTTTACCAAATTCTCTTATTCCTTTTATTTTTTTACACTTTAAATATTGGTGAAGATAAGGATTAAATAGTACACATAATAAAAGTTGCATTATAAAATATGAATTTTAAAAAGTTTAGGCACTAGTGGTGTAATTTTAATATTTTTTAGCCTACAAATGAAATTAAAAATCGAATATATAAACGAACGATAAACAAACACAAAAAAATGCTAAACGAACACTAATGAACGTTAAACGAACTTGTTCATAAACACTTTTGTGAACATATAAATAAACATGTTCATGAATACATTCATGAACATATAAACGAACATGTTCGCTAGGGGTGGCAATCGGATGGGGGAAAACCGAAACCTGTGGGGATCCGAACCGACGGGGATGAAGAATAATCGAAATCTTCGCCCACGGGGATGAGATGGGAAAATTTTATCCCTGAAACTCAAATGGGGATGAGGACGTGGATTGCTATATTCAAACCATGAGAATAACCGAACCATACCCATGTGAATAACCGTGGGGATCCCAAAAAATATCCGTAGGAATCCCTGATATTTTAAAAAAAATTTAAAAATATATTTATAATCATTTACCTATATACCCTTAACATATATTTTAATAAAAAAATATATATGATAAGATTGTGAGATTACGTGTTGCCATTGTTACATCTCAAATGAACTAAAATTGAAGTTTTTTTTCCTCATTTAATATACATTGATTTGTTGAGATTAAAATGATTAATATTGTGCATATACATCAGGTGTTAGATGAATATTGACGTTTGAAATTTTCATATTATAGATATAGACCAATTTGAGAAATATGATATATCTTACAAGTTTTAAGTGTTCCATAACATAAATCCTGCATTCTCACCAAAATCTTGATTCTAAATATCAATCTTGATCCAAATTTGTTGCAATATTACATCTGTGTTAGCTTTAGAGCTGTTCATGTTCAGCTGGAGTCTTGGAGAGTTTTATGTTTAATATTTCGACTTTGAAATGGTAAACAACAATGTTCTATATTAAGCTGTTATATCAAAGATATTGTGGGTTTGATGCTGAGACTTGTAAACTATCGGTAAAAATGCGACAGAAAAAAATATCTTAGAACTTGTTGTAATTGTTACGGTGTATACTTGAGCGTAACGCTTGTCACTTAACGGAGGAATTTAATATTCGCAACATCGAAAACGATAGGTACTTGAATTGTCCGAAAAAAGGTTTAGACACCTAAATGAGAAACAATATGTTTGACACTTATTAAGCCTTATTTTTATCATTTAGTTAATTTAACTTTTCACTCAAACTTGCTTGTCTAATTTGATTATTGAATTTGATTTTTGTGTTCAAATGGTACTTAAACTTGTTTTATAGTATAAATTAATCCAAATAAGTCCATTAAGTACCATACAGCGAAGTTAGAATACTAATTGAATTAATAAATTATGTTTACGTATTAATTAGACTCAAAAGATTTTAGGTATCAAATTGAATCTTAAAGTTATACAAACCTGATTGGAAAATAATATATTAAAGTATTTAAAGTTAATTTTAAGTACCAAAAATGTATTTACCCTTCTGTTATTGACAGGTTTTGGATCCTTTTATTGTGTCATCGTGACCTTAATTTAGAAATCAAATATTATTTGTACTAGAAGCCATCATTTTCATTTTGGAGAATTTGCAGAGTTATCATCAAGAAATTTCCATTAATTTGAATACTTGGAACAAGGAGATTCAAATTCAATTTATATATCCTTAAAGCATAAAAATATACAAGTGAGCGAAATAAAGGTAAAAAAATTGCTTATATTTCTTATCATGAGGTCCCTTTCCACCAATTGTAATAATAGTATGTCCTGCTAGTTCTGCAACAATGAACAGGTGTCTCTTGTTTTTGGTTTTTAATGATCATCGGAACACGGCAAGGGCTGTTTTGACGAGGTGGCCGGCGATAATGAGATTTGTCTTCTCCGGTGAAACGAGTGCCAGAATATGTATTTATTTGCATCCGAACATGTAAACCATTTTATCATACAGGTAACTCATCTCGAAGTATTCAGTCCCACAGCATGATGTTTCTGCATTCTCGAATCCTGTCATTATTGTAAAGATTTTCGTCAGTTGTGACCGAATATGTTGAAAACGCATGTCTTAATGCATGTGCGCTCACACAGTCACACCAGGGCACATGCGGGTCGGAAATGCATCTCGAACGCTCGACGATGGGGCCTACAATGGCTTACCGAACCGAGTTGGATTACGAATCATTTCCAAGAGTTTTTCGTAGATGTTCAGCATCACAACTTGGATTCCACCGAGTTCCTGATTCATCTCTGTGATGGTCCCCTGTAACTTTACGTTGAAAACTTTAGCCATGTTGTCCTTTCCAACGGAAAACATCCTATCGGAGCAAGGCCGGTTATTGCTACCTTCCGAGCTCCTGATTAAATTGCTGGCGATTCCTATCAGGAAATCCTCGTATTTATCGACCGGATACTGTGATGATCGGGTCGGAAAAATGTAGTAGTTCTCTAGGAAGTCATTGGTTCCTAACTTCCTATGCTTAAAAGGTGCAATGATTCACTCAAAAGGTGATTAGCTTTGTCATTGCCTAGGTACCCTCTTAGCTTGCTCTGATATTCTCTGTAGTACTCCATTTCCTTCCAAAATGGTATCACTGACTGCAAAATCAAGGCCAAGAAAATGAGACGCAAATTGTCGGTAAGATGGTATAACTATTGGTGAGCCGTCGCTCGACTTACCAGGACATCGGAGGTAGCATTATCGTACCCGGTTCCAGCGGAAGCGAACGAGACCCCGGTAGCAAAATCTCTTATGTCATACTTGGGATCCAAGTAAGCAGGTATGACGGGCTTGATCCTGAAGGCTTCCAAAATGAAGTCCGTGGCAATCCTACCATTGGAGAAACGTCTGGTCGGCTGACCACCAACAAAGTAATCCCGACCGTAGGGTGCGAAATTGCTCTTTAAGACAGTGGATATCTGATTGTTGTTCCCTGGATCAACCGTCGAATCTCCGAACACGATAACTGCAGGCACCATTGCACTTATTCTTGGCATTTCCACAAGTAGATAAGCAATAACCAACAACGAAACTGCCTTAATTGCCATATTTAAGCCTTCATTCCAAAATTTGCTGGTTTTGTACATAAGAACCAAACAAGTTGGTGAAGAACCAGAGAAAATTAATGAAACAGATGGAGTTTCTTGAGACTTAAATTGTTGCTTAAAGTAGGTGACAGAAGCATCGTATTTAAAACAAATGATCACGATTCACGACACTAACAATGTACTTCAATTCGCAAACTGATGTTTTTCATTTGTCCGAGATCAAATAAATTTTTTGGTAAATCCCAACATAATATCTATATCAATGATGATGACTCGTATTTACTTATGAACATGTTGTGCCGACATGTAATAAGGAAAGGACCAATTGCGTTCAAACACCTTTAAAGGTTACTTTTTTTTAGAGATTGAAGAATCCATGCAGTCATGACGTTGTAATGCTAAGAGAAAACCCAGAAAAATCTTTCGTGTGGCTTTAAGCATTTTCCATGGATAGAAAGTAAGCATGCAACACGTATCAAACGTGATGCACCATTTTTCATCAACTTTTCTTTCTTTTGACTAACTCATTTTACATACACGTAATCCTTTGAGAAAGAAAAGTTAAGAGTTGCTTGCATGAACAAATTTATGAAGATTGACATTGAAATATGAAATCCAGGAGAGTCAATATTAATCAATATTGGAGGTTTCTGTCGGAGGAAAGGGCGGCTGCTGCTTTAATTTCTGCAAAACGAGGATGGCGGCGGCTGCTTTAAATGCTTCAAAAAAGAATATAGCAGGAAATGGAATCGTTCACAAATGATCACTATAGAAGGTTGTCTCGCGTGACAAAACAGTATTAGGTCAGTTGGTTTAATGTACTCCATCAACGTTTCGTCGTCCCAAATCGTTAGTTTTAAAATGTCAGTGGGAAAAGACAAGAAATTTATTCAAATATCAATGACCACTACAAACCAGCTAGAAATCTTTTGCTTTCAGGTATTTTAGAAAGTTTGGAGACGAAAAATTCGATCCTACCAATGAACCATTTGATTCAAACATGCACAGTGCAGCATTCCAAGTACCAGATAATTCTAATTTCTAAGCCTCCCGGCAGGACCGCTCATGTGTTTAAAGCATTGTTCTCTAATCCATTTCTATGAAACTGTTCCAATTGCGTGTTGTCTGTTATAGTATATTCGAATCCGAATCCAGGTGAAGCATTGTGATAAATAACCAAGAAGATTATGAAAGTACAATCACTATTTACCAGCTCGAATTTTCTTTTGTTTAACTACACAGTTCTGTTTGAACAGCCTAATTGGTTTCGTCTCCCATCTTTATTACAGCCAGGATACATGCTATGCTACATGATCGAGTTATCCGATCAGCTGAGCTCGGAGTTACTCGAGAGTTGGATAATGATGCAGCAGAGAATAACACAAGTAACAAAGGCTCTACTACCGCTTGATGATAAGCTAGGTAGGCAAATTTTCACAAAACTTTGCCTATGTGATTAGAATCATATACATAATGAGGTTTTCACTTTTCATGTTAAGATCCATCTTTGAATGACATAATCTCTGTGTTTCAATACTCAATAGGAGATGTCACAGGAGGGCTAAGTTTTTAGGTAATATTGCTAGCATAATCCACATGGTTTCTATTCTGTGTATGATAAATGCAGTGACAGTTTGATAAGGTGCAAACTCGAATATATACGGTTACTATTACTACTGCAATATTCGATCGAGCATATGTATGTACCAACAACTATTACTACTACACTATATGATCCATTATTACCATGGAGTGACCAAATTAGTGGATTCTTTTCAGCACATCAACCATGTTCCCTTTTAACTACTTACACATCAACCGACTGCCCAAAATCCCATCGAGCTTGCTGCCTTCTCCCGATCGACACTCTCGCCTACAGAATTGCGGCTGCCATCATGGCCTTTCAAACACAAACCTAAGTCCAAATTACTCATGTTCGGATCCTACAAAAAGAGCAGGAAAATCTAATTTTTCATCCAGGCTTCAACTTTGAGCAAAATGATGTACACAATTTCAAAAACTCGATCATTTCTTTAAACATATGAACCAACTATGGTGCAAGCCATCATCGAATAACCCAGAACGTCCTAACGTTTAACAATGTCCTTCCTGAAGCCATGATAGGCTACCTTTTACAGTCAAAGGGTTATATTGCAGCTATTTTTAACTTACAAATGCAATAAGATAGCTTAAACAGAACTTATAGGTGTTACCTGAGTTTCTTTCTTTAAAAGAGCATTCATGTTTAACACGATATTGGTCTTAGAAGACAACCACTCTGTGGATTGCTCGGTCTTATTACCATCTGTCTTAGCTTCATTTTCAACCTGTTTCGCAGCCGCCTTTTTACGCTCATCCTCTAACACGGCAACCTGCAAAAATGAGAATCAACAACCATTTTTATGATCATTAAAACACTCTTTTTTTTTTGTAAAATAAAGGTAGATAATATTCAAGCAAAATAAACAAACTAATGGAAAGAAAAACCCATTTTTAACTATATAAAATATATTGGAAATTCAGTCTTATTATTTTCCCCCTTTTTTTGGAATAATTATTCTTGATTTCTTGAATCCATGACAATCTGGGAAAATAGGTGTTAATGGTTTAGCTCCAGATTAGTCAAGATTATGAGACTGAAAATAACAGTGAGCAAAAACCCTAAGCTAGAAGCCTAAAACCACTAGAAAAAAGGACACATACGTATACTTGTATGCATAGATAAAGGATACACACGTATATTTAGATACTTACAGGGGTATAGCGGAACTTGCGCTTTGGGGGCTGCTCCTCGTCCTCGCCGTCGACGGCGGAGGACCCGGAATTAGCAAAGGAAAGTGGGGTCCACCTACAGAGTAGGATGCTGGAAGCGGCGGAACCGTGCCCAGTGGACTGGGAGTGTTTAGCGGTGGATGAAGGCGAAACGTGAACCCACTTCTTCTTCCACTTCCTCACCGGACCATTGAACACCGCCGTCGAACCACCGTAACGAGCTGAAGCTCGGCCAAGCCTGGTGGAGCCCACTCCTTCCATCTCGAGATTCCAAGTCTCGAGATAAGAGTATCAAGTTGCTGTAACCCACAGAGCAGAAGAAAAGCAGAGATTTTTTTTAGAGTGAAAGCGAAAGTGTTGAGTTCGTTTTGAACGGTTGTAGGTGTTGGGGTTCGTTTTCTGTAATTAAAAACAGACAAGACAGATTTTAGACACTTAATCAAACTTTGTAAGAGAACGGCGTCGGTTTAGTTCGGTCGTTTTTCCCGTTTCGTACTTGTGATTAGGCGGTAATAATTAAGGATTTAATAAGGTGTTGGAAGCATAAAATGGGCTTTAAATTTTTTAGGGTAAAACTACAATGGAGGTCACTTTTATTTTCGCTATTTTAATTTAATCACTGAAATTAAAAAATGTATATTTTAATCACTTCCATTACTGATCTATTACCTTTTATCAATGAACTGGCAACTCCCTCGTTATATCAATGACATGTTAATAAAAATAAATAATTTTTAATTTGACCTTTAAATCTTAATTATAGGCAGTATATCGATTTAATTTTTGAATCCCCTCAACTTCTCTTTCAATTTATACTACAATTATTCACAGTCCACGTTGCTCCGACCACTCCAATTTGAGGATGAAATCGAACAAAAACTCTCCCTTACAAGATGATTTTGCATGAACTAAAATTTCTTTTATATAAATTCAGCTGACACAAATCTTAAAATGGCTTCAAGACGGTTTAGGGTTGCTTGCTATGTGTTATTGTGGATGGATAAGGTAACATGAAATATTTATTACCGCTAAATATATGAAGAGTAAAGGTAACTTCTCTTGAAAAACAGTGCACATGGGTCCACATGGCACCGAAAATTATTCAATTGCTTTGTCAGCACCGAAAGGTGTAGAAAATATATTATTTTATTTTATGATAAAATCATATCTAGTAATTATAATTTAGGGTATTTATAAAATAGTCCTTAAGTTTCAACTATAAATACCCTAACTCATTTAGCTTCAATATCATCCCAAAACATTCTAGCTTTCTTCCAATACTAGAGAGAATTTAGAGAGTTTCTTGAGAGTTGTTTTCTCCTTTTTATCAAGAGAGAATTATCATTGTTTTCTCCTTGGTAGATCGAAAGAGGTTGTAATTCCTATTTTCTCATAGTGAAATTCTTCTACCGTTGCCCGTGATTTTTACCCTATAAAATTTAGGGATTTTAACGTAAATTTTGTGTCTCTTTTATCTTTAATTTTTTATTTTCTCAAATTATCAGTTGCATTTTTTGCTCTATCCGATAGCAGTCTTCCGCAACAATTGGTATCAGAGTTAGATTTGAGTTTGTAATATCTGTTTATTGTCTTTGTAGTTGCCACCAAAAGGTGGATCATCCAACATAAGAAAATAAGAAGGTATTACCCATTCTTTGAAGGTTCCAGAGAACTATTAACGATAGTGAAATAATGGGAGCTATCCTTAAAAGAAGATATGACAACGAAATTTGATATTGAAAAATTCAATGGGGAGAAATTTCTCATTGTGGAAATTGAAGATGAAGGCCATCTTGAGGAAAGACGGTTGTCTAGCAGCTATCAGTGAAATGCCGGTGGATTTCACAGATGACAACAAATGGATCGAAATGGACGGGAATGCTATGACAAACTTTCATCTAGCATTAGTAGATGAAGTATTGTCAAGCATCGAAGAGAAAAAGACAGCTAAGGAGATATGAGATCATCTCACCAAACTGTACGAGGTCACATCGCTGCACAATAAAATTTTCCTTAAGAGAAAATTGTACACTCTTCGTATGCCAGAATCTAGTTCAGTGACGGAGTACTTAAATACACTGAACACTTTATTTTCTCAGCTTACATCTTTAAGCTGTAAAATAGGAGAACAAGAACGTGCAGAACTTCTACTTCAAAGTCTACCGGATTCGTATGATCAACTCATCGTCAACTTGACAAACAATAATGTCATCAGTCTAGTCTTCGATGACGTTGCAGCTGCTGTTCTACAAGAAGAAAATCGGCGCAAGAACAAAGAAGACAGACAAGTAAATCTGCAACAAGCAGAAGCGTTAACAACGATGACAATGATGAGAGGGAGATCAACATAACGTGGCCAAAGCAGCAGTCACAAACATGGTAGATCGAAGTCGAGAAGCAAGAAGAATTTAAAGTGCTACAACTGTGGAAAGAAGGGTCACTTGAAGAATGATTGTTGGAGTCTAAATAAAAACTCCAATCCACAAGGCAATACCGCAAAAACTTCAGATGATGGAGATGCTCTATGCTGTGAAGCGTCAACCACCGTGGAAGGCAGAAAAAGATTTGCAGATATATGGCTCGTTGATTCAGGAGCAACATATCACATGACCTCAAGAAGAGAATGGTTCCATCAGTATGAATCCGTCTCAGGAGGATCTGTGTATAGTTGCAATGATCATGCCTTAGAGATCATTGGCGTGGGAACCATCAAATTGAAGATGTATGATGGAACAATTAAAGTTGTTCGAGATGTGCGACACGTGAAAGGCCTGAAGAAAAATTTATTATCCTATGGATTGTTGGATAATAATGCAAGCAAGATTGAAATACGAAAATGAATCATGAAGGTCTTCCGTGGAGCGTTTGTGGTGCTGAAAGGCGAAAAGATAGCTGCAAACTTGTACATGTTGAAGGGAGAGACTTTGCTAGAAGCATAAGCCTCTGTTGCCTCATGTAGTTCAAATTCTGCAAAGCTATGGCATCAGAAACTTGGACACATGTCAGAACAATGAATGAAAGTCCTTGTGGAGCAAAACCTACTTCCAGGTTTAATAAAGGTATCACTTTCCTTGTGTGAGCATTGCATAACAAGTAAGCAGCACCAGTTGAAATTCAACACGTCAAATTCTAGAGGCAAAAGTGTTCTAGAATTGGTTCACTCTGACGTGTGGCAAGCACCGGTTACATCCCTAGGCGGAGCAAAATACTTTGTCTCATTTATTGATGACTACTCTAGGAGATGATGGGTGTACCCTATTAAGAAGAAGTCAGATGTGTTTTCAACTTTCAAAAACTTCAAAGCGCGGGTGGAACTTGATTCTGGAAATAAGATCAAGTGTTTCAGAACAGCTAATTGAGGAGAATACACAAGCGAAGAATTTGATGACTTTTGCAGGAAAGAAGGCATCAAAAGATAGTTCACAGTGACGAACACTCCTCAACAAAATGGAGTGGCAGAGCGGATGGACAGAACCTTGTTAGAAAGAACAAGATCAATGTTGAGGGATGCAGGCCTAGAAAAATCATTCTGGGCAGAAGCAGTCAATACCACTTGTTATTTGGTGAATCGAGCTCCATCAACTGCAATAGAGCTGAAGACACCAATGGAGATGTGGACTGGTAAATCAACTGATTATTCAAACCTCCATGTATTTGGAAGTATTGTGTACGTGATGTACAACTCTCAATAAATTTCAAAGTTAGATCCAAAATCCAGGAAATACAAATTCTTGGGGTATGCTGATGGTGTAAAGGGGTATCGCTTGTGGGATCCCACTGCCCGCAAAGTGATCATCAGTAGGGATGTTATCTTTGTAGAAGATAAACTACAAAGAAAAGAAGATGATGATAGCGCTGAAAAGTCAGAGACTACACAAATACATGTGGAAAAGGAGGTTGAACAAGGAGATTATTCTGAAGCAGAACCAGCACATGATGAACAAGAACCAGAGAGTTCTGAAGCTCCAACAACTCGTCAATCAGATCGTGTGAGAAGACGTCCCAATTGGCACTCAGATTATGTTATAGAAGGTAATATTGCATACTGCCTTTTAATAGAGGACGGTGAGCCATCAACATACCAGGAGGCAATAAACAGTTCAGATGCTTCACTGTGGATGATGGCGATGCAAGAAGAAAATCGAAGCCCTTCATAAAAAATAATACATGGGACCTTGTGCCACTACCACAAGGAAGGAAACCAATTGGTAACAAATGGGTCTTCAAAATCAAACGAAATGGTGACGATCAAGTTGAGAGGTATCGTGCAAGATTGGTGGTCAAAGGATATGCTCAAAAAGAAGGTATTGATTTCTATGAAATATTTTCTCCTGTGGTTCGACTAACAACAGTTCGAGTAGTTTTGGCAATGTGTGCTACATTGAACTTACATCTAGAGCAACTAGATGTTAAAACAACTTTTCTTCATGGAAATCTTGAAGAAGAGATTTACATGCTCCAGCTTGAAGGTTTTGAAGAAAAAGAAAAGAAGAACTTGGTTTGCAGGTTGAACAAATCTCTGTACGGTCTAAAGCAGGCGCCGAGGTGTTGGTATAAGAGATTTGATTCCTTCATTATGTGCTTTGGATACAACAAACTTAATGCAAACCCTTGTGCTTATTTCAAGAGGTCTGGTGATAACGATTTTGTTATATTGCTGTTGTATGTGGATGACATGTTGGTTGCAGGACCCAACAAAGATCATATTGAAGAATTGAAGGCACAACTGGTTAGGGAATTTGAAATGAAGGACTTGGGATCAGCAAACAAGATTCTAGGGATGCAAATTCATCGAGACAGAAGTAATAGGAAGATTTGACTTTCACAAAAGAATTACTTGAAGAAGATCTTGTCACGATTCAGCATGCAAGATTGTAAGCCAATTTCTACTTCTCTTCCTATTAACTTCAAAGTATCCTCCAGTATGAGTCCTAGCAGTGAAGAAGAGAGGATGAAGATGTCTCGAGTAGCGTATGCATCAGCAATGAGAAGTTTAATGTTCGCTATGATATGCACAAGACCAGACATTGCACAAGCAGTGGGAGTGGTTAGTCGGTACATGGCGAATCCAGGCAAAGAGCATTGGAATACAGTGAAGAGGATCCTGAGATATATCAAAGGGACCTCAAATGTTGCATTATGTTACGGAGGATCAAACTTACTAATCAATGGGTATATAGATTCTGACTATGCAGTGGATTTGGATAAAAGGAAATCTACTACAGGATATGTGTTCAAAGTTGCTGGTGGAGTTGTAAGCTGGGTTTCAAAATTGCAGTCAATTGTGGCTACATCCACAACAGATGCAGAATATGTAGCCGCTACACAAGCTAGTAAAGAAGCAATTTGGTTGAAGATGCTATTGGAGGAGCTTGGGCACAATCAAGAGTATGTCTCTCTGTT